GCTGTGGAGTCCGCTTATATAGCCTTGCGCTGTTGCTAGTGTGACGTGGCGTATAGCCTAGGACACTGTTGCTAGTGTGACGTCACCGCTGTTGATTAGCATTGCATAGTTACCAGGTTACGGGGGCTCGGCTATCTTCGGCTCCGCTCGTGACGTCACCGCGCGTTGCGCATTGCGGGGTGATTACTCGCCTATTACGCGAGCGCTAAGTTACCGCTACGTGGAGCTGGGGCGGTAGGGATCAACATGTCACAATATATATATATATAAATATGAATAACATTACAATGCAGTGCAAGATGAGACAGAGCACCTGGCAATGTGGGCTGTGATTTCTGGAAATGCAGAAGGATCATATTGCTACATCATGACTTTGACCCATGCCCTTCTTGAGGCAGCCCTAGCTCTGTCATCATTTAAAGTATACTAGAGTCAAAATGGACAAGCAACAGTATCACAGAGGGATAGACTACAGAAAGAAAGCAGTCAACAAATACTTTAAAGAACTATACAGGTATTCACTTGGAAGTACTGATGAAAACCCATGAAAATTTCAGTCAGGAAAGCTGGCAATGAGTGACATTCAAATCAGTCTGATGACACCCTACTGTTGAGCCAACAATGCTCAGGAACAGTACACTGCTTTTAAAATCCATTTTTGTGCTTACACAGTACACAACGTAACAGCACACATGAAACAAGGTGAGCTGTGAGGTTAACACGCACACAGCACAGAACAAGGAAACACAGTCAGTAAAATGTACAGAACTATAAGGTTTATTTTGGACTCTATCCATCGTCTTGTATATATAAGACAAAAAAACTGCGTATCGGAGACTGGATCTCTCTCCGTTCTCAGGTGGATGGGGGCAAGACAGACCTACTCAGTTGTACAGCATACACCATTGTCAGAATCCTTTAAAATCTACAGTCAGTAATATGTTTGACTCTAAACATAGGATTCTCCAGTATGAAGCTATCATAACCTATTAAATATGAAGTTTTAGTCACAGCTACAAAGATCAAAACTTGTCTTCTGAAGCTGAGTTGTAGTAAGTCTCCCAGTGATGGCCTTACTAGCTTCTGTGTTATCTGTCCAACTAGCAAGGATAAAGAATTCAGTTCTGAAAAAGGGGTCCACAATTTTCACAGAAGTAAATAAATAACATTTTCCCCTTTTAAATACACAACTACCACATCCTTATTAGTCAAACACAGCTCAACCTTTATTACGAATAACCACAATCCCAGTAAAGATCTAGCTCACAACTTTCTTACAACGCATTTCTCTTTCATGCCCAGGGTCCCACTAGAAGATGCCTGCAATTCTTACATAAAATTAAATGGACACTGTATTATAGTCATCAGTAGAGCAGCTGCAGCACACAGTGTCCATTACAATCTTGTGTGCTGCAGGTAAATAAGCAGTGCTTTGGCTCCATGAGCATATTAGAACTTGTGCATTGAAATTACTTCCATAAAACTGCATCATTTAGTTTAGTTATATTACAACAGTGCAGCCTCTGTTCTCATAAAAATGGAAAACATTACTGTAAATAGTATGGCTTGATGAGCTCAGCACAGCACATATACAAAGAAAAATTACATGTGTATACAAGCACTGGGTAAGACTCTGTACATGTGTGTTGTGAAGAAACACTATAAGAACATCATGGATTAAGAGTATTGTTGAACAGTATCTCTTTGTAAAATGTATAGGAATTCTGCAAACATACAAATTTACTAAATTCCCAATTTGTACATTTTCTCAATAAAAAATTTCACTGCCATTTCAGTTTTCTTTTAACACATTCAGGACTGGAGGGGCCAATTGGCCCTCTACATTTCTATAGCGCTGAGGACCAGGCAGGCCAATTGGCCCTTTCCTGACGCGTTATGTTGCAATTGACTATATCTCGCTGTGTGGCCATGTTGCATCATAACTACTGCGTAGCTGACCTCAGGAATGTTTGCTAGCTTAGCCAGTAACATGACCACGCTCATTTCCTGTCACACGCTAAAGAAAAAAGCCTTTGTTCGAGTCCAAGCTTCCACGTATGAACCAGGAAGTTTGCAGTGCAACATGGATCAGAGACGAAAGCAGTTGCAGGCGAAGCATTCTCTCGGAGAACAAGAAATATTAGATTTGTTCTCCGATGAGCTATCAGATTTGCCAACTGCTTCGTCTTCTGATAGCGAGGCCAGCCTCAGTGAAAGTGACAGTGACAGGGGCCACAGGGCCCCCCCAAAATATTGTGTTCAGTGAAAGTGAGAGCTCTGATGAAAGATAATTATTACAATAGTGTGGCAACTGCAGAATACCTACTTTCAAGGAAAGTACGTATTTGTGGTACAATTAGGGTGAACAGAGGCCTTCCTTCAGATCTGAAAGAGGAATGTAAATGCCTGAAATGTGGTGACACCACATTCAGGAGGAAGAGGGACATTCTTCTTCAGTCCTGGAGGGATACTCACGTTGTGAATATAGTTTCCACTATTCACAATTCGAGTATGGTTGATGTTCAGAGACGCCATGGGCAAGTGAAGAAGCCTCTTTGTGATATGTTGGGTTTTTGGACTTTATCCATCGTCCTGGTTTTTAAGATAACAA